AAAAAAAAAAAAAATTATCAACCTATAACCCCACACTTAAATATTTTTCCATTTGATTTCCATACTTATTTACAAAATTGGCATCAAAATGATCAGGCCATTGGCTCAATGTGTGGACTTTGAGTCAAAGGGGCTGGGTTCGTGTCTTGACTTTGATTAAGTCACTTAAGCTTCCTGAACCCCCAGGTTCTTTATCCAAGAACTGGGACAATAACAATACCCCACTCATAGTGTTGTCATGGGGATCAAATGACATTATGGACATAAAATGCTCAGCCCAGTCCCTGGCACAGAACAGGTGCTCAGCAAACAGTGGCAATATTTACCACCCAGTTGTGGTATCTTATGATTTGGTATCACACGGCTTTTTAGCCTAACGTTACATTGTGAGTTTTTCCCCATCATTAAATATTCCACTTTCAGAGCCATTCTTGACACAAGTTTTCCTTGCTCATATTTCCCACCATGAAAAATATATTTCCTGGCTGCCTTGCCTCAAGAGGCGGCTCCAAGGATGAGGGCCCTGAGAAAGCCCTTTCAGAGCTGAGACCTGAGAGGTTTCCCCGACTAAAGCCAAATTCCTGACTCTGTTCACGAGAGGTGAGGGGGAATTTAGTGACTGTGTGTGGCTAGAACTGAGGGAATCTCAGGGAGTGGGCCTGAGGAGAGGGGAAGGGATGGTCTCAAAGGGTCTTGAAATACTGGGGCAGAAGGTGGCTCATGAAACCATATTTCATGCCTCTCAACAGGGAGCAGCACAGCATGGGAGTTAAGAGCCTGGGTTCTAGCCGTCTACCGCTTACATGCTCCATAACCTTGTGCAACTCCCTTCACCTCTCTGCGCTCCAAGTGCCTCATCTGCAAAATAGGGTGGCTGTGAGGCTGAACTTGGATGTTGCATATTAAGGGCCTGGCCTACTCTACTGCTTTGGAATGTCTGGCACATGGCCTACCATCAATGAGTATTTGTTGGATGAACAAGCTTTGTTTGTTAAGGACACAAACTGAAGACCAGACAGAAGGAGGCTCAGCTAGGCAGGGGTTGGCATCTGGATACCTGCCTACAGTATGGGTGGAAAAGGCAGGGCTCCCTCACTCTCCAGGCTCCCGGTAAAGGTCAGAACAATAGCACAGTGCTGCCGGAGAGGGGAAAAGGCATCTCAGCTGCTAGGGGTGACTTCGATGCTGGCTCTTCCCCCTTACTAGCTATAGGAACCTGGATGATTATACTCTGAGCCTCAGTTTTCTGTTATTAAGTAGGGGCAGTGCCACCTAAGTCATAGGAATAAGTAAGAACATAAATTTCCTCAAATTAGCTCTATTCTGAGTGCCTGCCATTCTGGGGTGACTGAGAGTACTCTCCTGGGTGGCCGTTGCAGTGTTTTGGGATGGCCTGTTGGAAGGATTACTCAGGGTCCCTGGCAGGGGAAGGCAGCCTTGACCAAGTTTAGACACCCCTGGCAGGGCATGGCAACTCAGGGGAGATGCTGAGTACAGGCACTCCCTACAATGGAATTCCTAAGGAACAAAAGATGGACATTTAAGACTGGTGACATTATCTGGGATGAATCAGTGAGAAAGATGGGAACTCAGTAGGTACCTGGGCTCCATGGGCCACATGTGAAGAAACACACATTAGGATTTCCCTTGGAGGCACCGTGCGTGGTTCCCACAGGCTTGGCATGGCTGTCCTGGTTAAACAACATTTAGAAGGCCTTGGGTACTGTCCAAAGGGCTGGGCCATCCAGATCTGAGAAGCTTGTCTAAGAACAGAGCCTGCCAGTCCTCACTCCAATTCTGTTTGCCTAATGATAACAGCAGCGGCTCTCATTTGTGAATACTTGTCTTGTTGCAGGCGCTGCGGAGTGCCTAAGGCTCCTTGAGTTCTCTCAGGCAGCTGGTGCTACAGGTGGGGTAACCCCATTGTACAGAAAGGAGCTGGAGGCTTAAGGAGTTGAAGACTCATGTGGCTGGCAGGTGAGATCCAAACCCAGAACTCCCAGAGTTCCCACCACACTGAGGTGCTTCTGGGGTTTACTAAGTTCATGACTCACTTTCCAGAGTTCTGAGAATGATTTTATTTCCCAGCATCAAAAATAAAATAACCTGAAGGATAAAGAGAGTTGACTGATTCCAGAGAAAGTGAGCAGTGTCCCCAGGCATGGTCATATTACTCAAAGAAATCATGACCTAAGTGGAGGTAAAGAGCAGACCTGATAGTTGAGAGGAGGCTGTGGGGGGAGTAGGAAAGAGGAAGAGAGGAAGAAAGGAAAGAAAGAGAGGGAGGAAGGAGTAGATGCTGGGGGGAGAGAGAGAGAGAGAGAAAGGAAGGATGAGGATGGAGGGAGGGGGTGAGGCTGCGGGGATAATCTTCGCTGATGGTTAAAAAGATCAGGCTGAGGCAAGGTGCTATGACTCACACCATATGGCTGCGAGGGTTGCTTGAGGCCAGGAGTTTAAGACCAGTTTGGGCTACAAATGAGACCTCATCTCTATCAAAAATATTTTTTAAAGAAAGACCAAGCTGGGCTGGCTTTGCAGCTCCCCACCCTCCAGCTGTTCAGTGTTACTTCATCTTTCTTTGTATATCATCGCTGCATGGGGAATAATAATCCTTCCTCATTAGGATTATGAAATGAAATCATCTGTTTATAGTGCCTGACACAGGCATTTAATAAATGGTAATAAAAATCATCATACTAGTCAACCCTTATCTGTCGAGGGTAAACGTTAAGAACTTTACATTCATCAAGGTAGGTAGTCCTCCCAACAATCCTGCAGGGAGGCACAGTCATAACCCTCTTTTAAGAGGACCTAAGCCAGCTGCTTCCTTCAACCTAAGGGCTAACCTCAGTTAAATTCCTCCTGAGTCTCTTAAAGCTGAAGACAGAGGAGAGTCTGTGAGGGGCGTCCAGAATGCTACTGACCTTCATAATGACATCCATGGCCTTCTGGTCTTCCTTCTTGCTTTCCCCAAAGGACCGTACATTGAAGGAGCAGATCCTCAGGGCCAGGGCGCCCTGGACAGAGAGAAGGAGAAGCAACAGAGGGGCCAGCTTCTGTGCCATCCTGGCACTGCTCTGGCTTCAGGGCTCCACGAGAAGACAGCTGTGTTTGGAGTACAGGATCCTGGCCACCTCCGCCGGCACCACTGCCTTATAAAGCCTACAGATAACAGGAATTACTGGATTCCTCGTTGCTACTTTCAATTCTCTGAGGAACTGAAGATCATGGGTTTAATCCCCAAGGAAATGAAGATGTTGGGTAGACTTTTAGGAGCCCCTGTTTTTCTCACCCTGGTAAGGAAATTGGCACGCCTAATTTAGGCACCATCCTCCGCAAAGTCACTCATATCCCAACCGGGAGCCAGCTCTGACGTCTGGTCATGTCTTCTGCGGTTGAATGCCATGTACCTTTTCCTGACAGTTGACAAACGCGGAAGTGGTCCACCCCAGAGGGCACCTGGGGTGATGGAGCCTTCTGCTGGGGGACAATGGAGCACGAGGCATGGGAAATTCTGCTGGATTTTCTCTAAATCACTGGGATTTGGCGGCCTGCTATTCCTGGACACGCCCAGGTACTGATGCTAACCGCTCTGATGGGTATAAATTAAGGTCAAGTCTAGTTTGCATTACTTAATTTTTTTAGGCAGTTTTACTTTGCACAATTTAACACACCAAATATTGGAGTGTGTTGCCAGGGAACGCAATTGGGGATTTGCTAGAATGGGTCAGGAAAATGTCCCTAGACTTTAAGAACAAATAGCCCCTAGAGAGATCCATTATTTAACCTGATATTAGTTTAATGTTGGTGAGACACTTAGAAAGGAAGATCTTGCAAGAATTGTAGGATTTCAGTCCAAGTAAAATGACTTTTGGAGATTTTGGCAGGAAGAACAAAGATCTGAAGAGGAAAAGAAATGCAAAATTCAATTAAGTTATAATATATTTACAAACTTTGGCAAGGGCAGTTCTGTGCAAAGGGTAGGAGAGGAAAATAACTTGAAGCCAGCACTGTGATCTCCTAAACACTCCCTCTAGAAGCAATGGGGTTGTAGTCATAGCCTCAGGGAAAAGAGTGCGTATGTCACCAACATCCATCCAGTCAGCATCCTGGCCAAGCATGCCAGGAATTCTAAGAGATAACTCCAAATAGTACATGGAAGGAAATAATGGTTTCCTGCACTCATGATGAGATGAATCTGCCTGTTGTCTGTAACCTCAGACCTCAGGCCTGGCTGAATCCCTGGTTAAATGCAGCTCTGGTTAATGGATAGTTAATTGTCTTTCTTGGTGAATGGGCATCTTCCAATTAGAGAAAGACTTAGAATTACTTATAAGTGTGTTTATGAGACTCAGAGTCATGGTACACTTTTTTATGTGTGCTTTAAGATCAAATCTATACATGTGTGGTATTTTATGAACTTGTAACATATGTGTATGAGAGACTTTTGGCCTCTTAAGTTGATAATCTTTTAACTCTAATATAAGACAGGCAATTGGTGGGGGCTTGATTTAGAATTGTGACTTTAAGTTGAAACCTTATTAAGTTTGCATACAGTTTTGAAATATTTATAAGACCTTTGCAAGTTTAATTTATTTGAATCAAAGTTACTTGGTTTTAAAAGGTGGCCTTTTTTTGCATGAGTTCAGAAAATTAAACAGCATACATTAAATTTATTTTTAAAAGTTTAAATGTTTGTAAATGGGCCCAAAACTCCTTAAAAGTGATTATTTGGGTTTACTGAATTTAGGATTGCCTGATTTAGCAAATAAAAATACAGAGTAATAAGTCAATTTGAGTAATTCAGATTTCACCGGGCAACCTGTATTTTATCTAAAATCCTAGCTAGACATAACACAAAGAATAAGAACTTTGGTAATCTAAATGTAAAAATGTGGCATTTTCTAAGATAGTAATAATCATACCAGAGTTCTGAAAAAAAATTCTGCTAAAAAGCTCTTAGCATAAAAAATGAGCTAACTGGCTGGGTGCTGTGGCTCATGTCTGTAATCCTAGCACTCAGGGAGGCTGAGGGTGGGTAAATTGCCTAAGCTCAGGAGTTTGAGACCAGCCTGAGCAAAAGTAAGACCTCATCTCTACTAAAAATGGAAAAACTAGCCAGGTGTTATGACAGGCATCGGTAGTCCCAGCTACTTGGGAGGCTACGGCAAGGGGATTGCTTGAGCCCAAGAGTTTGAGGTTGCTATGAGCTAGGTATGATACTCTACCCAGGGCACAGTCTGAGACTATGTCTCAAAAAAAAAACAAAAAAAACCTAACCTGTAATAGAATGGAATCAACTAATACGTTCTTTAATTTTTAACATTGATAATCTGACTATTAATTTGAAAAATAAAGCTGCAAATAGTGGTTTCTACATATAGAAACTGCTCTTGAGGACTTTAAAAAAAAATTCAACTGAACAGATTGAAAAGATGAATCCCATTCTGTAATTAGCACATGTATTGCATGAAATCAGACATTTAAAAATTGCCTTAAGATTCTGGAAGGAAAAGCCCAAGAGTCAAATATAACTGACTCCACCCAGGTGCAGGTGCTGTGTTGAGTGCTTTCTATATTTCATGCTGCTCATTCCCTCCCCAAGTCCTCACCAGGATCGCTTCATTTTAGAGACGAGAAAACTGGAGCTTGTGCCCAAGGATACAAAGCTAGTATGTGGCAGAGCTGGGATTCACCCTGACTCCAGACAGCCTTCTCACCCACTGAACCAGGCATAACAAAACTTCAACAAGGAACACAGCAGGGGCAGTGGAGGGGGTGGAGGACAGAGGAGCAGGGGCACGAAAGGAGGACTTCCACTTTTTTTTTTTTTTTTTGAGACAGAGCCTCAAGCTGTCACCCTGGGTAGAGTGCTGTGGCATCACAGCTCACAGCAACCTCCAACCCCTGGGCTCAAGAGAGTCTCCTGCCTCTGCTTCCCAAGTAGCTGGGACTACAGGCACCCGCCACAACACCCGGCTATTTTTTGGTTGCAGCCATCGTTGTTGTTTGGCCGGCCCAGGCTGGATTCAAACCCGCCAGCTCAGGTGTATGTGGCAGGTGCCTTAGCCGCTTGAGCCACAGGTGCCGAGCCAGGACTTCCACTTTTTACTGTATATACTTGTATACAGTATTTTTTTAAAACACAAATATGTACTTCTTTAGTAATAAAGAGAAAGAAAAAAGTGCTAAAACTTTTCATTCTTTTAAGCAGGTTAAATAATGCCCATGCAAATAACGTTTTCCGTGTGTGCACAAGGAGGTGAAGGGAACCTTCTTCCACCCCAGCAGTCACTGATAACTCGGGGTGGGGTTAAGTGAACAAAGCTATACTAGAGAGCCCAGGATGGCAGAAACCCTCCCTCTCATTGTTCAGTTGGTTCCTAAGCTGGGAATTGGGAATTTTGAGGCCATTCCTGCCAGAAGCTTGGAGCCTAGAAGGAAAAGCAGACACTACTCCGAGGTTTCCTTCCTTAGGGTGACATTTCCTGCTGTATGTACTTCCCACACCAGCCTTCGAGCATGTTAGCATAGTAAACGTTCTGAAAAGTCCTGCAATTTACCTGCATTGAAACAGAGTGTCCCAAACTTATTGTCCACAGAGCCTTTTCCTTTGTATAATTCCTTTGACTCTCTTGAGCAACATCCACCAGGGCAATACTCTCCCTGATTTACAGGGACAATCAGATCCCCTCAAGGGCTCAAGCTCTTGCCTGGCCAATCAGTCCCTGCCAAAGAGTCCCATGCATGTCATATGAATGAGGGAGAAACAAGGATCAGGAGTTCAGACACATGGTCCCCAAACAGCCACCCAGCATGGGCCCTGATGGGACAGGAGTCAGTAGCAGTTGATACATTGGGACAAAGGCTACTTTGGAATTTGAGAAAGGCAAGACGGAGATACCAGGAGACGCAGAAGTGTCACAGGCTGAGTCACCCAAAAGCAGCAAGAAGAAACAAGCAGCCTGCAGGAAAGTCCCTGCTACTGTCAGGGGATGGGCCGCGTGAGCCAAACAGGTGTTTCCCGTGACTGATGTGGTTCTTTGTCTAATAATGAATGAGCCCTAGAAATAATCTTGTGACATGCAAAATGCTCCATCATCACATTTCACAATCAGCTTGGGTTTGAGGCAAAGAAGGTGCATCATTTAAAGTTGCATAATTACAACAAACCTCACCTTTGTGTGATAGTTTCCACCTGATAAAACAGGCTCTGGGTTTCAATCTCACATAGCATCTTACACACAGGGCTATCTAAGCATGGATCACAAGAATGTTACTTTCTGAAGGGCAGGTCTGGGTGTGTCACTGCTCTGATCAAAATCCTTAAAGAAGACAAAACTCCTTAATGTGTCCTCTACATACCTACATTTTCCAGGTCATAACACTCTGCTCCCTTCTTCCTCCCCCAGTGGCCTCCCCTCATACTGCCAGACTCTCACTTCTGACCACAGGGCCTTTGCACTGCTGTTCCCTCCACCACCTTCCTTCCACCTCTAGATTTCAGCTTTTTTTTTGCTGAGACAAGGTCTTACTCTATTGCCCAGGTTAAAGTGGAGTGGTGTCATCATAGCTGACTGCAACCTCAAACTCCTAGGCTCAAGTGATCCTCCTGCCTCAGGCTCCCAAAGTCCTGGGATTATAGGTATGGGCCACCACTCCTGGACCATGTCTGTGTTTAAATGTCACTCCCTCAAAGAAGCCTTCCCAGTCCCCTCTGCCCATCAGAGTCTTCCCTCTTGTCTTCTCTCATTCTCATGGCACCCAGGTATTTTGCTTCATGGCATGTACCCTAAAGGAGTATTATTTATGAGCTTGTATGTTTCCTTGTCTGGTGTCTGTCTTCCCACTAGGCAGGTCTAAAAGGGCAGGGGCACCTACGACTGTCTGTGATGCCTGGGACAGGACTGGCATATAGCAGGTGCTCTATAAATCATTGCTGATTGCATGATAGGATGCTCTGGCTGGCTCTAGGCCTTGTTGGGTTTTTTTAATTTTCAGATTAATATAAGGGTACATACAATTAGGTTACATTATTTGCTAGATAGAGTCCAAGTTGCAGTTGAGCCCTTCACCCAGGAAATGTGCCATGTACCCCTACATTATGAGAGCTTACCAAACTCCCCTCTCCCCTTTCTTCTCCCCCAGCCTCCCCTTCTTGAACTTAATTATATTTTTCTGTCATGTGGGCATGTAGTTATTCATCTACTAATATCATATTAGTTCTGAGTACATTGGATACTTACTTTTCCATTATTGTGATACTCTACTTAGGAGGATGTTCTCCAAATCCATCCAGGTAAATATTAAAAGATGCAAAGTCTCCATCTTTCTTTATGGCGGAGTAGTATTCCATGGTATACATATACCACAGTTTATTAATTCATTTGTGAGTTGCTGAGCACTTGGGTTATTTCCACATCTTGACAATTACAAGTTGAATTGAGCTGCAATAACTATTTTAGTGCAGATGTTCTTATGGTAAAATATTTTTTTTCTTCCGGATAGATACCTAGTAATGGGATTGTGGAATCGAATGGAAGGTCTACGTTTAGTTCTTTAGTTCACCATACATCTTTCCCAAAAGGCTGTATTCGTTTGCAATCCCATCACAGCATCTAAGGGTTCCCTTCTCTCCACACCCACACCAGCATCTGCAGCTTCAGGACCTTGTGATGTGAGCTATTTTCACTGGGGTTAGGTAATATCTCAAGGTGGGTTTGATTTGCAGTTCTTTGATGATTAGGGATGATGAGCCTTTTTTTATGTGTTTGTTGGCCATTCGTCTGTCTTCTTGAGAGAAAGTTCTATTCACGTCTCTTATCCAATAATAAATGGTCTCGTTTGCTCTTTTCTTGTTGATTGGTTTGAGTTCTCTATAGATTCTGGTTATTAGCCCTTTATCAGATTTGTAACATAAGAATATTTTCTCCCATTCTGAAGGTTGTATATTTTTTGTGTCCTTAGCTGTGCAGAAGCTTTTTAGTTTGATCAGGTTCTGTTTACTTATCTTTTTTTTTTTTTTTTTTTTGAGACGGAGCCTCAAGCTATCCCCCTGGGTAGAGTGCCATGGCATCACAGCTCACAGCAACCTCCAATTCCTGGGCTCAAGCGAGTCTCCTGCCTCAGCCTCCCAAGTAGCTGGGACTACAGGCACCCACCACAACGCCTGGCCATTTTTTTTTTTTTGGTTGCAGCCATCATTGTTGTTTGGCGGGCCCAGGCTAGGGATTCGAACCCGCCACCTTAGGTGTATGTGGCTGGCGCCTTAGCCGCTTAAGCCACAGGCGCCGAGCCCTATTTACTTATCTTTATTGTTGCTTCGATTGCCAAGTTTTTGACCACAGTGTGGGTACTTAGCCAGGGAAACTCAGCTTCACTGGGGAACCAAAGGGAACACTTGGCCATAGGACAAAAGATAATAACAACCACCACCACAACATCTGCCTTTCACGGAGAACTAAGTGCTAAGTTCATGGCACCACAAAAAAAAAAAAAATTACAATACTAATATCAAAGATAACTGACCACAGATCTCCTTAACAGGTATTATAATAATAATGAAAAAGTTTAAAATATTGCAAGAATCACCAAAATGTGACACAGTGACACAAAGTGAGCACATTCCACTGGGAAAATGACTCTAATAGACTTGCTTAATGCAGGGTTTCTATAAACTTTCAATTTGTAAAATATGCAAATTACAGTCACCAGTTGCATTAGCCCCGAACAAGAGCAAATAAAGAGCAGTTTGTCAGTAAAGAGCAATAAAGCAAAGTGTGATGGAATGAGGTATGTTCCCAAGGTAGATGTTGCCTCAAGATAGTTGAAGGAATTTTATGAAGAAAAGGGCTACGTGGATAAGTTTGGGACATCCTGTTTCAATGCAGGAAAGCAGCTATTAAAATTACAGGACTTTTCAGAACATTTAATATGCTAATGTGGATTATAAATCTCCAAAAATTGGTGATCATATTTATCCTTATTTCCAGATGCATCTTGAAAACTGGTGTTGGAAGTATATGCAGGAGTGAGCATAAAACCGGCTTCTCAGCTTTAGCAGTATGATGTTCCGGGGCCAGATAGTTCTTTTACTGCAGGGGATTTTCCTGTGCTTTATAGAGCAGTTAGCAGTGTCTCTGGCCTCTAGATGCCAGTAGTACCCTCCTGATCTGACAACCCAAATGTCTCTAGATGTTACCAACTGTCCTGTTGCATGATGTGATCAGGCGAAGTTGCAGAGGTAAACTAGCAGTCAGAATGTCTTGGAAGAGGAGGTGGCTGTAGCTCTCTCTGGCATGCAGCAACCTAGTTTATTTCTTACTAGCTTATATACCCTAACAATAAAGCATTCTGCATGTACACACATAATCTTAAATTTACAATACAATAAAGTTATGGGAAAGTCATGAGCCTTATTTATCTCTTTTTGCTTTAAAGAACAAAGTATTCATCTGTAAAGGACAGACATAATCTTTAATTTAGCACCACAATAACCTTACCTTAACTTACCACTACTCAGGTCTCTCACAGGAAAATTCCTGACCACAGCAAACTCTGTTTTCAGCACATGCCTCCCACTAGATTAGTTTTTCTAATCTCTCCCGAGGGTCTTCAAAGGAATGTCCCTTCCTGCAGACCTTGAGGTAGTTTCAATCAAGAACAATGTTATGGCAGCCTTTAATGTGGCTCAGCTCTACTGTCCCCAGTGGTGTGGGGATCACTCGATGTTGAGAATGTTGATGTGGAGGTTAAAGCATATACACTTTCACTTACTGGCTGTTCAACCTTGGACAAATAAGTAAACTTCTCTGTGCCCTTCTCTTCACCTTTAAAATGGTGATAATAATATTTCTTACATGGTAAGGCTGTGGACATTTAGAGAGTTTATAATGAAAAAGCAAACTCAGCACAGTGCCTGGCCCTTAAGGACATTCATTTGGGATGATACTGTTTTCAGAATGAATTGAAAGAAACTTTCTATCCCCATTTTGCAGATGAGGAAACTGAGACTTGGAGACAAATAATTTAGGCTCCAGCTATGAGCAGTAACATCAAAGTAACATCAAAAGCAAGCATTGGATTCCTGGGATTGATTCTCTTTGCCTCGGAGCAATAAAGCAAAGTGTGATGAAATGAGGTATGTACAAAAGGGGCCATTTAACTCCAGACATCATCTGACCAACTGCAAACTCTGAGATGGTGGTATTGCAATTAATAAATTAGCTTCTGCAAGGCAGAACTGAGGAGAGGTGAATGAGACTCTGGCCTCAGGCAAAAAATTTTGAAATTTACAAAACAAATCAATAATCAAGATAAATAATATTTTAACGCAATATTTTGAAAAACCAAAATTAATGTAGAAAAATCCATGATGAACAAAGTATTAAAATCTTTAATAAAGACACGTTCAACCCCACTCTTGCACTTGACCCTGCCTCATTCACCTCAACCTAATTCTGCCCCTGGGATTTGCAGATCTGCGAAACTGCTGAGTGGGCACATCTGGAGGTCAAAGCCTGCCAGGGCGGATTCAAAGAACACCAGGGAAACAGCGCTCTCTCTCTTCTAGCCGACAGTGAGCACTGTTTCCTTTCTGGAGAGCCGAGTTCACCTTTTCCCCAGAAGGCAGCACTCCGCGCTGGATCAGTCTTTTCCCCCGGCCGCAGTGCTTCCCAGCCCGCACCCTAACTGCATGAGACACGTAGGTTACGGCAGGCAGGTCGATGCCACTGGAGCTCATGCCCCGTCCCTTGACACTGGCCGCAGCACTGTCCTGGATCCGTTGCTTTTTTTCTCATTTCCCCCTGTGCAGACGTGCGCTCGGACGTGTCCCCACTTCTGAAGGCCGAAGCAGCCTGTTACTATCAAGTTGGCCTTCCCAGGCTGACCACAAGAGGGCATGTTGAGGAAACAAGAAGGCTGCTCAGATGGCACGGCGCTGAGTCTAAATGCAGTTTCTTCTTCCTTGGCTTTAGTCATTTCTTAGCTTCAGCTTATTTATATTTTACTTTTTCTTTTGAAATAGTTTTTTTTGTTTTGTTTTTTGAGACAGAGCCTCAAGCTGTCCCCCTGGGTAGAGTGCTGTGCCATCACAGCTCACAGCAATGTCCAACTCCTGGGCTCAAGCGAGTCTCCTGCCTCAGCCTCCCAAGTAGCTGGGGTCACAGGCGCCCGCCACAACGCCCGGCTATTTTTTTGTGGGGGGGTGGGGTTGTAGCGGTCATTATTGTTTGGCGGGCCCAGGCTGGATTCCACCCTAGGTGTATGTGGCTGGTGCCCTAGCCGCTGAGCCACAGGCGCCTAGCCTGAAATAATTTTAAATATGCATCGAAGATGCAGAAACAGCAAACAGCACACCCTTATACACCCTCCCCCTAGATTTACCAAGAAACATTTTGCCGTATTTGCTTTTTCATTACTTAGGTGTGTGTGTACACACATATATGGGAATATGTGCAATATTATATTCACAGACACATTGTTTTCTTTCTGGAGCATTCAAGAGTAAGCTGGAGACTGTGATCCTGGACCCTTCCGGGTGTATCTCTCAAAGACAAATACGTTTTCTCACATAACCACAGGACAATTATCAAAACCAGATTTAGAAATTATAATCTAATCCATAGACTTTATTCAAATTTCATCAACTGTTCTATAAAACTTCATAGCAATGTTTTCTTTCTGGTCCAGGATCCAATCAAAGATTATATATCAATTTAACAATCCTGTCTCCTTGCTTCCCTTTAATCTGAACAGCTCTTCAGCCTTCTCTCTGTCTTCCACAACTGACATTTTTGAAGTATATAGGCCAGTTATTCAGTTAAATCTCCCTCATTTAGGTTTATCTGAAGTTTTGCCATGATTAGATTCAGGTAATGCATTTTGGTCAAGAATGCAAATTAATAAGATGTGTCTCATGGAATTTCTTTCTTTCTTTTCTCTGTTTTTTTTTTTTTTTTTT